ACCCATCTGAAAGCTGCCAAGGCTGAGCAACACTGCTTTATACAATCATCAGATTTACAGATACCACATTTAAAAATTCCTGAACAACATCATGTGACAAGAGCTTTGCCTAAACTAAGTGACATTGAATCTTAACTCCAATATTTATTTGAGTCAAGCTTCCTAGCTGCCACACGTGAAATTAGAAAGAGGAGTTCACCTCATATAAAGCTGAGTGCTTTCTTTTCCTTGTAACCTCGGGACAGCCGCAAACATTTCCAGTTGGATACTTTAATTTATAGGCAGCCTATCATTATAATATTCATGCAGACAAACCTTCACTCGGTGAGATTTAAGAAATTAATCATAATCAGACTGTTTTTAAAAGGCCATCCACAAAATAATGTATTAATGAGGATTAATGCTCGGCCACCATAAGGAATTCCTTAGATCATAACATCTCTTGCCAGCTCTCACATTCCCATGACTGCTTTCACAACGCTGGGTCCTGAAACAATGTCCTTACCTGGAGGAATGTAAGAGCTGCTCTCTGAAGCAAGCATTCAGCATAACAAATTTCTGCATGAATTTCTTCTAGAAAAGTAAAAAGAAAATGTTTCAAAGTTTATGTCTATATATAATGTAATTATTATCAACACTACTGTTGCCCATGCTATTAAAAAAAAAGTTTCTTAAACAAGAAACTGAAGGACCACCTATTGCTACTTCAAGATGTTAAGAGGCCATCTTCAGAGACTAGCAAATGATAAGCAGACAAAATCCTTTCTATTTGCCACCCCTTTGATCAGTTGGCCTGAGGAGTGCCTGGTGACAGCTCTTCTTTCTTTTGGGCAAAAAAAAAAAAAATTGCTTACCCAAACTTTTTAAAATAAAACTCGATTACTTTTTTCTTGCATTATTTTCTATATTTGTAAGTCTCACAAAGAGACACAGCTGAAAGTCAAGATATACTGAGAATAAGATGTTCATAGCCTTTAGCTTCTGATGCTAACCGCCTTTCCTTCACCAGGATTCAAGAGATGGGAGGAAAACAAGGAGTACTAATGGTATGGATTGGTGATGAAGAAATAAAATTAACCAAACTGAAAATTGTCCAAAATTAAGTCTTTTGAGTTAGGTACTTCCCTAGGCCATCATACATCTAGCTGTACTATATCTATTCCAGCTGATTTTGGTTTGTCCCCCCTTATTTCTTATGACATATTTGCTTTAGATGGCCTTCAGCTTTTCTATTTTTGAGTCTGACCCATATTTTGTTTTACCTTGTGGGTTTCACATACTTCAGAACTGTCTTATACAGCTAATCCATTTTTGTTAAAGCAAACTTACCATATTTCATCAAGACAGCATTTTTCCTAGTTGTTCATGTAGACAGAGCCTGAAATCCTACATGCAAAGCAGGCACTCTACACTGAGCTCCCATGTTCTTTTCTTATCTAGCAACCCTTTGGGATAAATGTATACAGGTAGTCCTCAGGTTACAATGGCAATTGGGACTGGAATTTCTGTTGTTAAGCAGTGTAGTTGTAAAGCGCAATATGTGACCACATCACTTAGTGACGGCAATCCCAGCAGTCTCGGTTGCCGTTGTAACTCCAGGACTGTGCAGTCATTAAGTGAGGACCTCATGTGACCATGATGTGGGAAGAGGCAGGAGTCCCAGGCAAGCAAGCCAGTGGGTAAGAGCTGTGGGTGAGAGTTACAGGTGGGTGAGTGTGTGCTGTGGGCAGGTGCTACAGAGCGCAGGCAGGTACATGAGTGCCACGGGCGGGTAAAAAAGCAATGTGAGTGGGAGTGACTTCCAATCTCCGGCCAGCTTCCCCATTGACTTTGCTTGTGGGAAGCGGCAAGGAAGGTCGCAAATGGCAATCACATGACCGTGAAACACTGCCACCATTGTAATTGCGAGCCGATTGCCAAGCAGTAATAGAGAGTCAAATAATAGCATACAAAACAATAAATAAATATAATAGATGTATTTATTCTTTCTTTCAAAGATGGAAAGTCACTCTGTCAATATTCAGTGATTTGCCACTGAATTTCAGTGATACGGGGGGGCACTCCAGTAGCCACAAAGAAATGGGTGTGGATGCATACAGCTTAAGGATTGCTCATTCTTTTTTCCTGTATCTAAATATTTCCCCTAAAAGATGCCATCTTATATCCAGTCTCCTGGGACTTTGAACAGACTTGGGTCACTATATTCTCAGACATCCAAATATTTGCCAAGGTTTAACTGACTACAGCATTTTGTTTCCATCAAGGACCATGTGGATTGCAACTTGAGCAAATTTTCCCCACAGCAAAGTCATATATCCTGCATAAGCAGACATCTTAAAATAAGACATGGAACTGTTTCCCAAACTTAAAGGGAAACATATAATGCAATATCTGAAGCTTACAGTTCTGCATTTGCCAGTCATGTCAACAGAAATAATATAAAAGAGTGCTTTTTGTTTCTTTACCTTCAGTTAATTGATTAAGATTGTGTTTGCGCACTAAATTGTTGAAAGAATCTGCTACAGAAGACTTTTTCCGAAACCTAAAGAAAAATTACAGAGGCTGAAGATTTAAAGTAATACTTGTAATACTGTATTTAAGCAAATAATTCAGCAATATAATTGACACACATTCAGGAATGCATATACTGGGTATCATTATCTGAATTCTTTGGCTTTTCCCAAAACTGAAATATATTTTCTGAATTGATTAAATCTATAATTCCTGACAACTATAGGACATGATGATTGGTGTTAAGGGGAATCCTAGTTTAAAATACTGGGGGTAGCAGGTTACTTATCCTCCCCTCCTAGAGAAAGTAAACCTCAGAGGGCAATTCTATGTATGTTTACTTGGAAGTCAAACCTCACCTGATTCATTGGAATTTGGTATTTAATAAAAGCACACAGAGGTTTATTCTCAAGTCAATGCATGTACCGTGCTTATCTTTTTCTTCAATACCCTTGAAGGATTCTCTTCAATGCTCTTGCCCCTTTTCTTCACTTTGTAACAGTGAAGAAAATACCTTCATACCTATTATCAATATTAAAGTAAGATTCAAAAGCCTACCTACTTGGCTTTGGTGCAGGAAATGAAAGGAGAAACAATCTTCTCTTTTATCCAACACAGCCTTGAATTTATTACTTCTATATCTTTATTTATTTATTTAAGGAATTTATATGGCCACCCAGCTCACTCACGGTGACTCTGGGCAGCTTACAGAAATAAAAACCCCAAAACCCACAACACCCCCCCCCCCCGGCAA